GAGAGAGAGAGAGAGAGAGAGAGAGAGAGAGAGAGAGAGAGAGAGAGAGAGAGAGAGAGAGAGAGAGAGAGAGCCCTGCAGCATGCAGCATGTCATTCTATCAATATTGTGTCGACCTCACACTAGCTACCTACCTACCTACCCCACGTTATCTACTCGCGTATCTAGTATGGCGACCTCCCTTATCTATGCACTGGTCTAACCACAAACCCGACAAGCAAGGGTCTAGCCTATCCCGGATTCCCGGGGCAATATAAGGCTACCGACTATCCCAGGGCAATACCACACTACAAACACACAGCAAATGACATCTATGCACTAGAGGCACAGCACACTAAGGGTTACGGGTTGAGCCTATCCCCTCAGGGTTGAACCTAACCCCCCCTGGCAACGACCGGAAGTGACCATTCCCCTGCTAATCAACCGCCAGGGGTGGCAAGCTGACTACCTCAGCTGGTGAACCTGTAGCGCGCCGCAGGGGGCCATGGGAGTTCGAATGGAAGGCATGGGGACTCAAACCCACGACCTCCTGAATGCAGCTTTCGTCCTCTACCACCAACTGAGCTAGGCCGCTGGCACTTTTCTTTTTTCTTTTTCTTTTTTTCAGTTTTATTATTTCCAAAAAATGGGCTTAACCCACTCACCTCTCCTTTTCCTTTTTCTTTTTCTTTTTCTTTTTTTTTCAATTTTAATTTGTACCATTTCTCGATTTATGTGTGTCATCCTTGCACAGGGGCCATGCTCATCTTCATCGCTCCCATTTTAACGGATGGATGTCCCGAAGGACTCCTGAGTCCTTACGTCATTTTTATTCATCTGCTTCCTTCAGGATTTGAAGTCTGAACTCATTTTTATTCATCTGTTTAACTAGGCTACCAACCGGGCCGCCCGCCCGGGTCGCGGGTGGCCAGCCCATGCAAGGAAAAACGTGCAAAAACAAATAAATAAAAAAATCCAAAAAATCCGAAAAAAACCTATGTTATGCAGAAAAATAAACTGAACAACTTTTGCCTCAGGGTCACATCAAAATTCTTCACCTAATTTAGAATAAAAAATAAAATTAAAAAATGTTTTATTCATTTTTATTTTTTTGGCCCGGCCGGGCAAGTGACCCCGGGCCACTCTGGTAGCCTAGGATTTATCATCAACAGTCACATGTGTGTAGTAGTACTAGGCAGTGTGTACCGTTCGGCCACATGGGCTGGGCTTAATTCATTCTGCCATTTGTGAGGATGCACGGGGTTGGTTGAAGTATGGACCAGGTTCACACACTGGGCTTCTGCGGCAATCTCCAGAAACCTTGGGTCAAATTCATTTTTGGATTACTTTCTTTGGTGTGACTTTGACTTTGACTTTCTTTCCTATGCATTTCTTAGGTCTTGCGGGCATGCCACGCAAGAAAGTCAAATTCAAATTCACACAATCTGGATCATAGCCCGTCTCTGCCCCTGCTGACTCTGAAAAAAGGCCTCCGCATCTCACGGATCTATTTCAGCATGCAACAGCATACGACAGTAAGGGAAAAAAAAAAAAAAAAAAAAAAAAAAAAAGGACAGTAACATGGGAAGAAGAGTCCTTTGGGACATCGGTTAAAGTTGGAACGATACAGAGAGAGAAGATTAGCATGTCCCTTGCACAACGATGACACACATTAATCGAGAAATGGTTGAAAATTCTATGTTGGCCTGTCGGCCGGCCTGGCATGCCCGGGGGGCCAGTTGGGCAGAGGAGGGGGGGGGATTGCCTGGCAAAACCAGACGGGTCAAAAAAGAGGTAATGATCTCCCCCCCCCAAAAAAAGACTTCAGGCCAGGACTGCGGTTGGCCTAAGCAGTCAGAATCCGGTCTTAACTTCGGTTTTGGTGATGGGTCATCCAGGGGGGGTTGGGGGGTATAAACAGTGACTGAAGGGCTCAAAAGGGTACATTTGGAATTTTGGACTCATGTTTTCAGTAACAGTTTTTTCTCATTTATTTTTATCTTGAAATTAACAAGGAATTTCGAGGTGGCCCTCGGCCAAAAGTCGTTTGTATTGCAATTTTACACAACATTTTTTTGTTTCGGATTTTTTTTTTTTAATTTTCTATTTTTTTTAAATATTATGCGCTGGGATCGGCCGGGACCCTGCTCGGTCTGGGCCGCCCGGGAGGGTACCCGGGCTACCTTCCCCCAGCCGGGCCGCCTGGGGACTAACACAACCAAAATTCTAAAAGAAAGGGGGAAAAAAAGGTGGAAGGGAGGGATCTGTCACTGTATAGCTAATGCTGCCAACACACATGATACTGCCAGAAGATGATCGCAGACTACCGTCGTCACCCGAATGGAACGCCTGGTCCTTATAGCTGTATTTGCGGCAACTTTCAGTCCAGATGGAACGATCATGACCGGCCGTTCTCCTTTTCTTCTTCTACTTCTTCTTCTTCTTTTTTTTTTTTTTTTTTTTTTTTTTTAAAGAGCACAAACGTTTCCATTATAAGGATGAAAACCAGGCGTTCTATTCCGGGGAAGATGGTAGCAACGGATTTTTCTGAGTCATGTTTGCCTGTCGGAGCTGTCAAACATACATCAGACATTGCCCTTGTGGTGATTAGCTTTAATAACTTAGACTGATGCATGGAAACAATGATAACAATCTATGCGCTTGAGTTCCATTAAGAGTCTTTAAGGCACCAGTTCGGCTGAAGCGAAGTCGGTCTCTTACTGCTATATCCGTTAAGAGTCGTAGGCCACTAGTAGTACCTTTTTGGCGAGTGGGAAAATAGCGGGCCTCGGGTGGGCCTCCGACCTTTTTTAGGAGGAGGCCAAAATGAAACGACGACCGCCGATATAGATTTATCAATGGCAGCCGTTGTCGGGCCCGACCTCCAAACTCTTCGGGTACCCCGAATTTGGTGATGTTTAATTCTGATCTTCCATGACAAAAAAACTCCGAAAAAAATATCAGGGATATTATATTATTATTCCTTATGTGACTTCGTGCCAGGAAAAGAAAGCAAAAATAATTTGACTTTGACTTTGACCCATGATTTTTTTTTGCGCCAAACCAAATGCATATTTCAACCAAAGTTTGACTTTGACCGATGAAACTGTGACCTGGTAACCGTGACACGTCAAGCTGGCCAGGCCTGGGGGGGTGGTCTGGTCTGTGAACTAAGGCTCGTCCAAACTGGTGGATTAAAGATCTTAAACGACCAGTACTTGCAAAAGTCGGAGCCATAAGCGAGTTGCCACGCGCTGGGCCGAACGGGCGTGGCAGCTCCTGTCCAAATTCATTCAAGTGGATATGTCACGGCTCTATTTTCCACCGCCGCGGCCAATATATGGGTGAAGTATTGGTGGTGTAAAAGGTAAACAATGCTAAACATACAATTGTTATCACATTCGGCGACAAGAAACAAGTCTCCTGCTCAGCTCACCCCCCTTCTGATTTCTCTCGTTCCCATTTTTTTAAAAATCTGGATCACTCTCCCGACACTGATTTGCACGATTGTTTGCAAAATCTGGACATTGGTGTTTCGTTGTTTGACTCAAAGGTGGATCTTCAGCATCATACTCCACCATTTTATTGTCCTCTATCATTCTCACTCAATCATGTCAGTCTGTGGATTCTGCGCGATGTCTATAGATCCAAGTAGAGGCCATGCAGCAAATCATGGAGATCCAGGAGAGAGAAGTTGCTATGGCGGGGAACCAGAGACAAACGGTAAGTAGACTTCACTTCAATCACCATCAATGATTGACCTGCACACTGCACAGGTAAACCAAGGTTGCATGAACTTTCTTCTCCTCCTCCCTGTCATCCTCTTCTTACCCCTCTATCCCTTCCTCCTCCTCCTCCTCACCCGCCCCGTTCCCCATCCCCTCCTCACTCTTTCTCCTTCCTCCTTTTCCTCTTCCTCCTCCTCCTCCTCCTCCTCCTCCTCTGCTAGGACAGAGGGCAGCAATTACTAGTCCCAACAATACCGGTGGGTGCTTGGCCATGTAGGAGGCAGCAGTCGCGTAGCTAACTGGGGCTTCAACACATGACCATAGGGGCTGTATTCGCTGCAGGTCTGGTACAGGTGGTTAAAGTTTTTCTTTTGTTGAAGGATAACTAGGACCTGGTACAGGTGGTATGCTGGAGGTCAGGGATCTCCCTTTTTTTTTTTTTTTTTTTTT